AAATGTTACATTTGGCCAACCCAGGAAAATGGAGGTTAGTAAAAAACAAAGGTCTGAGTTTGTGGCTAAAATTACGTCACCTCCAAGTAGAACACTGGTTATCTCATGTTTATCAAAAACTGAGGCCAGAAACTATGTTTCAAGGATTATTCAGATGGGACATCAAATGAACTGCCCCTTAAGAAGTGCAGTTTGTTCAGAACACAGAATTGTCTAAAACATGTTATCTTCCGAAGGAGAAACAAATTAGAGTATTCAGCACTGAAATGTGTGAAAGCACTGTCTTAGAATGCACAAAAACCTTTTTGAAGAAGAAAAGGTATCCTTTGATAGGAGGTGTTATCTAACACAGACACAAGTTAATTTTTAAGATTAACTCAAAAATGTAAGTAAAAATGGCAGTGCCCAAAACAAACACTGCAAACCTTTGTACAGAAGAAAAAGTGTACTAAGCATGCGCATATAAAAACTGGATTTCACCGTGGCCTGCAGCAGACCAGCTTAATACCAGAAAATATAGATTCTAGAAATGACCCAAGATGTAAGCAGAGGTGGGAAATCCAAGTGACTGGGCTACCTGGTGATTCTGTGAACATTAAGCATCCCCTTTGTCATCTACCCACCACCAGCTACGCACAGAGGCATGAGTGGCTGAAACAAGGACTGGAACAGCTATTAGGCACGCAGGCTAGTGCAGTGGTCACACGCACAGACTCAGGGGCCGGACTGCCGGGTGGAAAGCCCAGCCCTCCCACTCACTGGCTTGGTAACTTTAAGAAAGGTTTCTGAGCCTCAGCGCATGTACAGGAAGAGCCTGGCCTTTCATTAGCACCCACAACGTTAGTATTCGTAGCAGTGGTGGTGGCGGTGGCCCTCTGAAAAGGCATTCCCGCCACATGGCTCTGACCCCTCTCCACTCTCTCCCCTCCAGCACGCATTCCTCTGGTAATCTGTCCTCTTCCCCCTTCAGCACATCTTTCCTCTCTTGGGGCATTTCAGGCTCATCTACAAGTCACAAACACAGGGGCCTGGGACAAGACCAAAGGGCTCCTGATCCCTGAGAGGAGACAGATTCTCACAATTTGATTTCTCTGAAAACAACTGCAGTGAAAATCCTGATGCCCCAAAAAGTAAATCCCTCCACTGCCTGTTTAAGCTTGAAAGTAACACCTTCAGGACCTCAATGAAAATCATCTGGTGGTCGATTCAAGCTCATTTGGAATGTTAAAGGGGCCCTATTGATCATGGCACCTCCAAGCAGGGAAAGGCTTTTGCAAACCATTTATACACTCACACACCCAGCCCACCCGCCAGGAGATGGTCACAGAAGGCCTGGAGCAGCTGGGGATTGTGTGAAAGGAGGGCGGCTACTCCTTCAGAACTGGAATTGCCAGGAGTCCTGAGTGTGCGAGAAAAGCTGGAAGTTCAGATACATATGTGAGGGCCAGCAAAACACATCTGCAGGATGTAAATGGCCCCAAAGCTGTCAGGTTCCACCCCTTGAGCTGGACAGAGCAGGGGTTCCCACCCGCCATCCTCGAACCCCTGGAGATCACAGACCCACTGCACAATAGTCACCAAATCCAATGGCAGGGATTGGGCAAGGGCCCCAACCAGTCATTGTTCATCGACTGAGTCAATAACGTGCCTTACTCACATAAGAACTACTTTTTTTCCTAATGCAAAAGGACTCTGTGATATTAACGAAAACAAATGTTAGCCCTGGCTGGTGTTGCTCAGTGGATAGAGCGTTGGCCCGCACCCCGAAGGGTCTCAGATTCAATTCCTGGTCAAGGGCATATACCTGGGTTGCAGGTTCAATCCCCGGCCCCGGTCCAGGCGTGTGTGGGAGGAAACCAATCGGATGTGTCTCTCTCACATCCATGTTTCTCTCTCTCCCCATCCCTCCATCCCTTCCACTCTCTCTAAAAATCAATGAAGCCCAGCCGGTGGGGCTCGTGGTTGAGCATCGACCTATGGACAATAAGGTCACAGTTCGATTCCAGTCAGGGCACATGCCCAGGTTGTAGTCTCGATCCCCAGCAGGGGGCGTGCAGGAGATATCCAATCAATGATTCTCTCTATCCCTCTCCCCTCCTCTCTGAAATCAATAAAAATATATTTAAAAATAAAATAAAATAAAAATAAATGAAAAAAAATATCCTCGTGTGAGGATTAACAAAAAACAAACTTTATTCAATTCTGCACTTGATGGCTGAGCCTGGAAGCCCCGTGACGTGCCATGGTCCCTCGGCCCCTCGCAGGCCGGCAGAGGAAGCCAGGCTCCCAAGTCCCAATCAAGTCCCCTCCTCCACCAGGGAGGGTGGACCCTGCCCCCAAGAGTGGCCCAGGAGACTGCCTGGGTGAAACCCAGGATAAATGTGATCAAAACAAAATTCTGAACCAAGTTTTTCACCATCACCTCTTCAAAGTTTCATAAGGGCTGAGAGGTGGCAGCATGAATACCTGCTACCCTGGCCGTACACCGGAACCATATCCTCAGCTGCATTCCAGATGCGGGTCTTCCCGCCTCAGGTGGAGAAGGGACTCATTATCTTGCAAGGCCGGATGACAGTGCAAGTGGAGAACTTGTCTTCCTGCCCCACAACACTCTGATCTCCTGGCCTAGCCATTCCGAATGTCTACACCCCTCTCAACCCTCCTCATGACCTACTTCCTTCTCCCCACCCCCAAACACTGCCTCTGTATGTTCATATGTCCCCTGCATAATCTCCCTTCCATTGGCTCCATTTCCCCAACTAACTGGCTTCATTACAAAAAAAAAAAAAAAGAGTTGCTTCACTTTCCATTCTTACTTCAGTCTGCAGGCATTAGCTAAGATGACGGATGTAAGATGAGAGCACAGAGGTCGTCCACTTGAGAAGCAGAATTGGAAGGACCTGCCCACTCAGTCAAAACAGGGCACTCTGAGGGCAGAGCAGGTGCTGGGAAGTGGGGCATGCATTCCATCCAGGACATCTGCACCGCGGAGCCAAGGCCGCAGATACAGCCGCATACATTGCGCACTGCGGGACTCCAAGGGCAGTAACAGACCAGGGTGCGAGTGGCGCCCTCTGGCGTGTGTAACAGAGAGCCCAGAGAGGCATCAGTGGCTCATCCTAGAGGTACGTGGAAATCTTTCAATTACTCTATCAATTAAGAGTGACTACATAGTTGCCCTGGCTGGTTTTGCTCAGTGGATAGAGCGTTGGCCTGCAGACTCAAGGGCACATGCCCAGGTTGTGGGCCCATTCCCCCATTGGGGGCATGCAGGAGGAAGCCAGTCAGATTTTCTCTCTCATCACTGATGTTTCTATCTCTCTCTCCTCTCCCTTCCTCTCTGAAGTCAATAAAAAAAAATTTTTTTTTAAAGAGTGACTACATGGCCAACTGAGTTTCTCAGACTTGAGTGTGCTTACAAACCCCCTGGCAGCTTACTGAAAATGAGGACTGCCCAGTCCTCCCCAGAAATTCAGAATCCTCAGCTCTAAGGGGGCCTAGGAATGTGCATGTTGTTGTTTTCAACAACCAGCCTCTCCACAAACCCTAGCAAACAAAGTTGAGGCTTAGTGGAAGAAAGACATCATAAGGGCCAAGATTGTGAAACCAAAAGGAAATGTTTCTATTTTATAAAGTTTACCAGTGGCCCGGTGCATGAAATTTGTGCACATTAAAAGGGGATTAATTAGAGGAAATATTTTAATATTGCTATTTGCCCTTTCTCTATAATAGAAGTGTCAGAGGTGAAAGAAAATTAGTAAAATGTATATGAAAATCTTCCTCCTGTCAGAGTCTGGGGTGCACCACGAAACCCAGAGTCAAATCCCTGCCCACCCACGTGCGCCTTGAAATCACGCAAGACCCAGACCCGCATTGGGATAGATCCAGACCCGGCCAGTCCCAACCTTGTCAAGCCCCGCCGGGCGGGGGACATAGCCTCAGGTCCCCTGGCCCAGCGTTGGGGCGGGGAGTGTGGCCTGAGATCCCCCATCAAGCCCCACTGGGAGGGTGGCACAGCCTCAGGTACTCCGTCAAGCCCCACTGGGCAAGGGGAGCAGCCTGAGGTCCCCCGGCCCAGCACTGGGGTGGGGGCACACCTTGAAGTTCCCCATCAAGCCCTGCTGGGCGGGAGGCGCAACCTGAGGTCCCCTGCCAAGCCCCGCCAGATGGGGGCATGGCCTCAGGTCCCCCAGCCCAGTGCCAGGGCGGGGGGTGTGGCCTGAGGTACCCCAGCCTGGCACCAGGGTGGGGGGGTGCACCTTTAGGTCCCCCATCAAGCCCCACTAGGAGGGGGGCACAGCCTCAGGTCCCTGCTGATTGCTCGTTAAGGCTCGTTATGGGAACTTGGCCTCCGCTGTGGGCGCCGCCATCTTTGTGGCGAGTGATGGTCAATTTGCATATTCACTTTATTATATAGGATTCCTTCCATCTCAGCTGTATTTTATGAAGAATATTGTTTCTGGCCCTGGCCCGCTTGACTCAGGGTTAGAGTGTCAGCCCAGAGACTAAAGGGTTGGGGGTTCAATTCCCAGTCAAAGGCATGTACCTTGGTTGCAGGTTCGATACCCGGCCCCAGTTGGGGCACATGCAAGAGGCAACAAATTGATGTGTCTCTCTCACATCGATATTTCTCTCTCTCTCTCTCTCTCTCTCTCTCTCTCTCTCTCTCTCTCTCTCCTCTCCCCACTCCCTCCCTTTTACTTTCTCTAAAAGTCAATGCAAAAATCCTTGGGTGAGGATAAAAAAAGAATATTGTTTCTGTAGACCATTAATGATGGTACTCACATGAAATCCATGAAGCAGCTGCCACTAGAAAGCCCACCCTGCCTGGGCCTGTTTAAGAGCATGCAGACAGTTGCCCTAGACTCTGAAATGAAATAGCTGTTCTGACAGTATGTTAAGTTTACACCACCATTTGCCAAGTCAGAGGAAGTCCACATCCTAGCTGGTAAACGCACCTCCTCCCTACATACCAGCTTGGCAGCCACTCAGACACATACCTTATGCTCCTCCTTCATCACCTGTTCAATGAGTTCGGATTTCACTGGAGGCTTGGAATACTGGCCTGAGAGAAGGCCATGTCCTAACTTAGTCCTGGACGGGAGGGAGGAACAAAACAAAAGGTCATTGTTGTTTCCCTTCAGAGATGTTACAATTATCTGCGAATTTCAGTAAGTGCAGCTACTTTCAGACCAACTGCTTTATCTCCATTCCTCACAAATAACTTATTCATTCGATTCTACTTGATACTGATTCCATTTTCAAATTTTCCTCAGTACTTTATAGATCATTTTTATTAATTTCTTTCTTCTTGTAAAAGTAACATGTGCTCATTTTTGAACACTTTTAAAAATATATAAATAGCCCACGTGGCATGGCTCAGTGGTTGAGCATTGACTTATGAACCAGAAGATTATGGTTTGGTTCCCGGTCAGGGCACATGCCTGGGTTGTGGGATCGATCCCCAGTAGGGGGTGTGCCGGAGGCAGCCAATCAATGATTCTCATCATTGATGTTTCTATCTCTCTCCCTCTTCTTTCCTCTCTGAAATCAATAAAACACATATTTTTTAAAAATACATAAAATAAAGAGAACTGCCTTTAATTCTGCAAATAGAACTACTACGAACACTTTATTGGAGACTTTTCTTAAAAATTATAATGAAGCACTTACATCTGTGTGTTGAAATCTTGTGTTGGATCTAAAGGCGAATAGTCAAATATTCTGGGAAGATTTCCTACATACCTAGGAAATGAGAAGCGACAGTCAAAACATAGAACGGAGCCATGAACTGAACCAAAATAAGCCGTCATCCTGCTGAAGACCTCACCATTCAGTCAAAATTAAATCATCCACCCGAAGAATAGTGTTTCCTGAGTGCATGCAGCCATATGCATGGACCTCCCTAAACTGTGTGTGCTCCCATCAGTGCATCTCAACCCTGGGTGTGAGTTAGAATCCCAAAGAGTTTCTTTAAAAATGCAAGGTTCTGCCCGGTCGGCGTGGCTCAGTGGTTGAGCATCGATCTATGAACCAGGAGGTCTCGGTTCGATTCCCAGTCAGGGCACGTAGCCTGGTTGCAGGCTCGATCCCCAGTGTGGGGAGTGCAGAGAATCAATCAATGATTCTCTCTCATCATTAATGTTTCCATCTCTCTCTTCCTCTCTGAAATCAATAAAAATATATTTTTTTTTAAAAAAATACAAGGTTCTGAGTTCACTGTCTGAGACTGAGGTCTGGGATTTGGAATCTTTTACAAGTTCCCCAAGCAATTCTAACACGTGGCTGGAGTCAGGAACCACCAGTTTATGCCATCCCAGCTGCCATCTCAAATACCAATAAGGTTGGGAATCGCTCCGGTCGTGCCAAAATGACTAATATGATAATGTCGGTGACAACGATCATTTCCTGAGGGTTTCCTATGTTACCTGGTTGGGTCTTCACTACAACCATATAAGGAAGTGATTAGTATCAGTACCCCATTTGAGAGATGAGAAACTGGGGTGCAAATCCGTTAGGTCCCCCAGGGAGGGAATGATGGAGCCCAGCATGGACCCAGGCTGCCTGGCTCAAGCTGTGCCCTGAACCACCCTTCCAACTGTGCCTGCCCGTCCACGGACCCTGTAGCATCCACGGCCCCTCCTCCTGACCAGCTTATCCTGACAGCAGTGCTACCTTCACCCCGGCTCTCACCCTGTCTGTGGCGCCCTGAGCGAAGCCTAAGGAAGAAAACGGCCACAGACAGCTCCCCTGCCCCTCGCTGTGGCAGGATGAGGGCAGCCGGGTATGCACAGGTAGGAAGCGCCCTACATCACTGCCTCCCAAATTGCCTTCCCTGAAGAGCCAGCCTTTTTATTTTTCCAACTCACGCAGGTGATGCATTTAAAAAAAGACAATAAAAACAAATTATTAGAAAAACAAACTGCCACTGACAAAACGGCCATGTCACAGGGCTACAAAAATCGCTCAGCGCTTGCTCCCTGCCCATTTCCAGTCTTGTCTCGTCGCAGAGCCCTGGCCAGCAGTGTGAGGACCAGTGCCAGTCTGGGAATCACACTTTGAGTGGCAAAGAAATGAAAAGCTGAAATCCTCTAAGACACGCCACTGACCAGAAGGGCAGCAACGGCCAAACAGATCACTGAGTCTCTCCCAGCGCGTCTATGGGAAGGGATCTGGCAGGCTTGCTGTGAGGTTGCATGATAAACTTTTTCTTGGCATAGAGGGTGACAGTCTAATAATGCAAGCCATAATCAGTATGACAAATTCCTGGGGCAGGGGGAGGGGGGTGTTAGTTTACAAAGCTCACTTTATCTCATCTGATCTCCATAATGCTTGGCCAGGGTTCCCACCCAGTTTCAGTGCAAGAAGTCACACCACAGCCCAGCGGCGTGGCTCAGGGTTGAGCGCCGACCTATGAACCAGGAGGTCACAGTTCGATTCCCGGTCAGGGCACAGGGACTCAATCCCCAGTGTGGAGTGTGCAGGAGGCAGCCAATCAGTGATTCTCTCTCATCATTGATGTTTCTATCTCTCTCCCTCTCCCTTCCTCTCTGAAATCAAGAAAAATATAGTAAAGAAAAAAAAGAAGTCACACTACAGATAGCATGGCGAGATGGCCTGCAGCTGATGAAGACGGGCTTTGCGGCACACCGGGCCAGGGCAGCAATGGGCCCGGGCTGCGGGGACACTCACGCTCTCTGGAACTCGGGGATGCTGAAGATGGCCTGCATGACGGAGCTGAGGTAGCAGCTGTTGCCCAGGTTCTTGAGCCCCGTGTACCCGGGGCCATACATGGGCTTCAGCTTCGTCCCCGTCTCCTGGATCACTTCCCACTCGCTGACCCGCGGCTTGATGTCATTGTCCCGGAGCCCGTTCTCTGTCTGGGGCAAAGTCAGTGAAGAAAAACAACTTTAGCTGTGATCATCGTTGGATGCCCCGTGAATTATTTCTAACAGCAATGGTGTTTCCGCCTCTTTTTCCCCCAACTAAGCAGAAGAATAAAACCTAATTAAAAGAGACTGAGATGGTGATGGTTGCACAACAATGGAAATATACTTAATGCCAAAAAATGGTTAAAATAGTAAATTTTATGTGGTCTATCTTTCTGCAATAAAAAATAAATAAAAGTCAGAGTGACTGAAAAGAAAGGAGATAAGAGGAGGAAGAAAGACAAATAGGAATCAGAAAAAAAAAAAAGCAAGTAGAATAATTTCAGGAGAGGATAAAACACAGCCCAGCAAACAGCTGGAGAGGAAAAGAGACAGAAAACTTGGGGCTTGGGAGTGCTTCGACCCAGGAGGAAGGCTTACAGAAGAGCAGAGAAAGCAAATTAACACGTGACACGAGTGAGAAGGAGGAGATGGGAGAACATGAGGAGAGGGAGCCGGCCTGGGCTGCAAGGAAAGGGCTAAGCCAGAGCACACACATTTCAATAGCTCCTCCCAGGGACTAACGTCACAGTCCTGACAGCAGCGTGGAAACACGATATTAAATGAAGTAAAGCTCTTCCATCAACAATAATACATTGGCTTATTCTTTCCCTCCCCCAGATGCTCTGCTTCCCTTCCTGAAGTTAATTAAAGTGATACTGGTCACAGATAATTTTAAAGGTCATCTCCTGTACCGTCTCCCTTTAGTGAACAGAGTGATTCATGCAACTCTCCATCCATGGAGATTTTGCATGTAAACTCCAACTAAACAAAATGGTACTTGACAAGTTGCCATTTTTATTATAACATTAAAAAGTCCAAGCTGGCAACCAAAAGAAAATGCCAATGAATTACATTCAAGAAGTAAATGCAAACACTGAAACCTGTAAAATGAAGATTCATGTTAGAGAAATTATATATTAAATAAAACAGACAGTTCCCTCCCCACAAGATGGGAACAGAGACAAAAGCAGACGTTCTCACCCCATGCATATGAAGCATATCGATTCCAAAATGCGCTAAGTGCTTGGCCAAGTGAGGATCCGTAACAGGTTCCTCTTCTTGAAACGAATAAACATCTAGAGAAGAGAAAACAAGCTGTAATCAAGTCATTCAATATTCAGCATATATTTACTGAGCTCCTACTATGCGCCTGGCTTGGGATATATTAATGAACAAAACAAAAACCTTCGGTAAATTACACTCAACTGGAAAAAGACAGATGATGAGCAACAAACATAATAAGTAGGTATTCTTTGTAAATGTGCCCATATATCAATTCCTGTGACATTTCAGGACTATAAAAAGGTTTCCTGAAAGAGCAGTGTCTGAAGTTAAAATACTTTAAAATTCGACAAACATAAATGCCTAACATTTGACTTTTCTAACCAAAACCACAGTCACAGTACTCTAAGTTCAGGAGGAATGAAGGGTGAGAGAGGAGAAGGGTGGCACTGTGTGCCCACAGCAGGGAGAATCTATGGGGGAACACAGGCCCTCAGTGGCAGCTGAAAGGCTGACTTGGGGTGTAAGGTCCAGGACAAAACACAATTCTGCCTTGGAACCTCTATCGTCTCAGGCCTATCAGCTCACCAACTTCCACCTGCCACCTGCCCCCCTTCCCTTCTGTCCCACATCGGGGTCCACACCCCACGTGCACCCTGGGCACACACAGAAGATGACAATGCGTTTGGCACAGCAGGGTAGCTCAAGGGTCCCCCTCCCCCCTGCCCCAGGGCCTGAGGGATGGGCATCTTGGCCTACTGGTAACCCATCTGTGGGGTACTAGTGCTGGGGAGCTGTGCTGAGCTGGGAGGCTTCTCTCCTAATATTCCACCTGATGATATTTCAGCTTCAGATGGAACCTGGCTTCTCAATGGGTACAGAATCCGGGCCTTACCCCGGACCAGCGGACTGAGAATCTGCATTTTCATACGATCCCAGATGCTATCTGACCACTGCCTTCTCTGTCCTCACACTGCAGGGCAATGTGGGAGGGGAACAGCTTCAGGCCCATTGTGCAAATGAGGAAAAGGGGTTCCGAAAGGTGACATCATTTGCCTCAAACCCCACAGGGGGCCCAGAATCCAGGTACTCTGACTCCTGGCCCCGTCCTTTTTCTCTGCACCAGCCTATTTCCTGAAATCTCTCAGGAGACCAGCACACTTGGTGAAGCGCCATCCTAGGCCCTCAATAGCAATGGAGAGACAAAAGCCACAGTTTCTTCACTCCTGAATTTGAAGAATAAAATGTATTACAAGGGAAATAGACATAAAGATATCATTCTGTAGAAAAGTAAAAGATAGACTGTCCAAGGAGTTTCCTGCTCTTTGGAATGTCACCAGGAGAAGAAAAAGTAATACACGGAAACTGTGGTGACCCTTTGGCCCAAATCCAGGTACATGGAGATTCACTGTCACCAAATACATGGAGATTCTATTATTAACTAGAAGCCTGGTGCACGAATGTGTGCACAGATGGGGTCAAGACAGCCCACCTCAATCGGGGCCAATCGGGCCAGGCCGGCTGGAGGAAAGGGCCGTGGGCGATTGGCCGGCCCGCACCGCCTCCTGGTCGAACTCCCAGTCGAAGGGACAATTTGTATATTAGCCTTTTATTGTATAGGATTGATTAAACATTGTATAGCTTTTTCTTCTATTCCTCTTTCCCTAGAGGCCCATTTAAATTTGTGGGTAATAGCTTTCATTTATATCCTTTTTAAAAATATAATTCAGTGCTTGAAAGCAAAAACAAAAGACCAAACCCCAACCCAATTAAGAAAACACTTCCAAAAAGTTTAAATACTAAAAACATCAACAAAATATTTGAACTAATAACTTGAAACAAATACAACAATATTTTTCATCTATGACAAATGACAGAAAAATGTCACTCAAATACTGGCTGGGAGGTGAAAAGGACATTCCCTGGGTACTTTCACTTGAGTTATTATGAACTAGTGGGGTTGTTTTGAAGACTTAAGACTTTAAGCCTCTCATTATCAGAGATCTGTTAGAAAATAATAAAATTGCTAGGACTGCACCATTGACATTAGCCCAGAGTTTTGGATTAGGCAAAAATCACAGAGCTATTAGGATAATGACTACCCCACTAGACTCATGCCACATAGAGAAAGTAATGTTTCCTATCTCCAGTCATTAATTGCTCCAAAGATACAACATGATTCAGTCAGACACTATAGTAATTTCTTACTCCACAAGTATAACAGTATACCACACACATGGTGCTCAGGTGCTGCTGTCCAAGGTGACCACCATTCAACATAGTTCCAGGGTCTTGTGAAAAATGCTACGGTGGAGCAGTACAAGGAGGGGCACAAGCCAGATCCAAACTAAAATGAAGTCATCAATCCTTGATTCCAAACCCTCCGGCTGCCAGGAACTCAAAGAAGCTTACGTCCAGGTCAAGAGTTAAGTTGATCAAAGAAGACCGCCTTAAGAATCTATGGAGCGGGTGAAGCGGCCAGTGGGATAGGCATTTTCACAGCTGCCTTGGGCATCTCTGGAAGACTCTTTCCCAACCATCCAGGGCACTGAGGCATGTTCTTGAGTAAACTAGTTTCCATGATGGAAGATAAATACACCCTCTCCTTCCTCCACCCCTTCTCACTCCCTTCCCACCAAGCACCTCTTCCTTGCTTTGCCAAACCAATGTCTCTTCCCGCAAAGGAAAGCTTCTTGTTTGTTTGTTTGGTGATCTGTTTGTTTCCTGGTTTGTTTGTTGTGGTACCCATGGGGACCCAGAGTGGAATTTGGCATGGGTCCATTTTTATTACCCATGCCACCACAACGGCCTCGCCTGGGGGATCAGGGCTTCTTGGAAGAGCTCATTCTAAGTTGAGACCTCAAGATGAGTAGGAGTTTGTCACTGAACAGGTATATCCTTAGAGGGGAGAAGGAAATCAGCATGAGCAGATCACGCTACCATTAAATAGTTGAGTCCACAACCTGCTAGGATTCCATGTTTACTAAACAGTATTCTAAATATAATTCAGCTTCCCACAGGGAAGGAATGTACTGGTCAAGCAAGCAGTTAGGCCAGTTATAAACTAAAAAATAAAGTCTGAATTTGAGACTTTGTCTCTTGTGAATTGAATCAGCCTCAACTAGCTTAGCAAGTGTGGAATATGGGACCCTCAGCTGTGGTACCTTCACCAGAAGGTGGCCACCCTGTCCCCAAGGGCACCATGCCCACCGGGGCCTCAGGGTACACAGGTTCACCATATGATATTTAAGGAAACTTTAAGCATGTTTCCATTAACTTATTTGGCTTTTAAATAAACAGTGTTATAGTTAGCAATCTATTAAACACAGATTTAAAAGAAACTAAAACAGAACTGATGCATCACATGCACTTGTATGAAATGATAATTAGGCTGAAAATAGTCATTTGTGCTAAAACCAAGTCTGCACAAGATAAGCAGGAATTAAATCCTGATCTTTTTTTCAAAAAGTGAACATTATTTCAGCTAAATGAATTTGAGAACCCTCACCACAGGGTGTATGATTCACACTGCTAATGTCAGTGTTGTGCTCATCTATGACTGAAATGGGAGTAATTTATTCAAATATTGTCAATTATATAATAAAGGTAACCTTAAAAGTTCTTCCTCTAAAAAAAAATTAACTAGCCCAGCTGGTGTGGCTTAGTGATTGAGCATCAAGCAATGAACCAGAAGGTCATGGTTCGATTCCTGGTCAGGGCACATGCCCAGGTTGCAGGCTCCATCCCCAGTAGGAGGCGTGCAGGAGGCAGCCTATCAATGATTCTCTATTATCATTGATGTTTCTATCTCTCCCTTTCCCTTCCTCTTTGAAGTCAATAAAAATATAATTTTTTTAATTTTAACTATGTCAGATAATGGGTTAATATTCTTTTTATTCATATTTTAGTTGTTATTGATTGATTGGAGAGAAACATCAATTTTTTGTTGTTCCACTTATTTATGCATTCATTTGTTGATTCTTGTATGTGCCCTAACTGAAGATCACACCCACAACCTTGGTGTATTTGGAAAATGCTCTAACCAACCAAGCTACCCAGCTATGGCTCAGCCCTGTGAAAAAGGGGGGGAAAAAGTCAATATTCTTTTTTTTTTTAATATATTTTATTGATTTTTTACATAGAGGAAGGGAGAGGGAGGGATAGAGAGTTAGAAACATCGATGAGAGAGAAACATCAATCAGCTGCCTCCTGCACACCCCCTAACTGGGGATGTGCCTGCAACCAAGGTACATGCCCTTGACCGGAATCGAACCTGGGACCCTTGAGTCCGCAGGCCGACGCTCTATCCACTGAGTCAAACCGGTCAGGGCAAGTCAATATTCTTAATAGCTAAAGTTTTTTTAAACCAATAAAAAAACGCCTACACATAAACCTATTAGAAAATCAGCCTAAGAAATTCACAAAAATTACTATGAATGGCCAAGAGTACTATAAAAAATGTTCAGCCTCACTAGTAAAGCAAATTAAAACAAGATAACAGATTAGCAAAGGTTTTGAAAATTTTTGAATACCCCAAGTTGTCCAAGATTTGGTAAAATGGGTATTCTCATACACTGGGGGAGGAAACATAAATTACTACAACTGTGTAAAAAAGAAACTCAGCAACTGAAAAATTAAGTTTCAGTCCTTTGTTCGTCGGAATTTATCATAAAAAATAAATAATTAGACAAACACCCAAAGATTTGTATATGCACAAGGATGTTCATCAGAATAGCACAAAAATTATAACACACAGGGGAAGAGTGAAATGATTTATGGAACTATCCTAGGATATTGATGAGCATCTCATGACATGAAAAACATAATTTAAAGTTAAAAGAGAAAAATAAGATATGAAGCTTTATACCGTGTAATTCAAGTTTTGTAAAAATAGGGGTTGGGCAGGGGGCAATTTGTATAAAAACTAATCAAGGCTTTAGAAAAGGGAAAAAAAGACTTAAAGAAAATACCCTAATTGTTAGAAGTGATTTGTCTGGCAAGTGTATTACTAGTGATTTTATTTACTTCCCTACACTTTTCTCTGTTTTCTAAATATGTTTCACTGAACATCTGCTTCTTGAATAATCAAGGGTCAAATATAAACTCCCCTTCCTCAAAGGAAAAGGAAAAAAATTTCAGATGCACTCTAAATTGCAGTTTAAAAATAAGCTTCCTTCTAGAAAAAAAAGTTTTGAAAAATTAAAGATGCAAAGAAAATAGAATTAACCTTTGCCTTTATTTTTGGCACACATTTAAATAAAATCTATTTTTATTATTTTTAATATATTTTTATTGATTTTAGAGAGGAAGGGAGAGGGAGAGAAAGATAGGAACATCAATGATGAGAGAAAATCATTAATCAGCTACCACAACCCAGGCATGTGCCCTGACCAGGAATCGAACTGTGACCTCCTACTTCAGTGATGGCGAACCTTTTGAGCTCGGCGTGTCAGCATTTTGAAAAACCCTAACTTAACTCTGGTGCCGTGTCACATATAGAAATTTTTTGATATTTGCAACCATAGTAAAACAAAGACTTATATTTTTGATATTTATTTTATATATTTAAATGCCATTTAACAAAGAAAAATCAACCAAAAAAATGAGTTCGCGTGTCACCTGTGACACGCGTGTCATAGGTTCGCCATCACTGTCCTAGTTCATAGGTTGATGCTCAACCACTAAGCCATGCCAACCGGGCCAAATAAAATCTAATTATTTAAATACTTATATGCCATTTGGTTCATTTAACAAAAGTGTGTGTGCCTACTATGTATAAGATTTTGTATGGAACCCAAAGATAAGTAAGAAATAGCCCAGCCTTCAAACAACTAAAACTGTATAACTAAGACATGTACACCAACATTTGTAGTCTTGGACAGGCTGTATCAAAGCACTACATAAGACAGCACAGAAAGTAGAAACATCTGAATTATTATCTCCTTATAATTTCATCCAATAGGATGCCTACATTACAAACCCTTCTCTCTGTGGTCCCATAAAAAGATGATGATGGTTGCCATATACAGCAGTCATTCAACACAGCAATGAGCATCAAACACTTGGCTGGAGCCCTAGTCCAGCACATATCCTGAACTTTCTCTTCAGATCCTGGAAGCCTAAGCATTTGACCTGGCTTGTGTAGGGTTCTGTTTGCTTGGGGGAATGGGGGATGGGGGAGTGTTTGGCATCAGCACCTGCCAGGGCTGACCAGCAGACCCTGAGTGACGGATGAATGGATTAGTCTGACACACGTTTCTGTGAAAGAGAGGCTAAGGGACTGCCTAGCTATAGGAACCAAGCAGCCCTGTTCACCTGCCTCCTTAGGCTTTTATTGTAGCAACAGCTTGAACTAAAATTAATCTCTAGATCAGGGGTGGGCAAACTTTTTGACTCGAGGGCCACAATGGGTTCTTAAACTGGACCGGAGGGCCGGAACAAAAGCATGGATGGAGTGTTTGTGTGAACTAATATAAATTCAAAGTAAACATCATTACATAAAACCTGGGGGCGACTTGTTTGGAAAAGTCAAGGCAGGGGCTGCCACCTTCGGCAAAGTTCCCCTAGAGGCCCCCAACCTTTCGGAGAATCCTCCTTACAGACTTTCCAACCAAGTCCCATGCTTCCCCACAAGCACCTAGGCCTCTTACAGCTACTTTTCTCTAATGAGTTAAAATAAGTCCTCTAACTTGAGAAAATGATCCAAAATGCAAATCCAAAGAATCTTGACATGACCTAACTGCCAGCCTCAGTGATAAAACAAGTGATAAATGAAACCAGTTCAATGAAAAGGTTGACCAGAGCACATGTAGTGAGCCCATCCTAGCCAGTTACTCAGAGGCAGGCTAATTCTGAAAGAGAGCAGAGAAAAGACACATATCTTTATATTGCTCCTAAAAACTCATCTTAACCTTAACATAAAGAAGAAATGGACTCTCAAGCCTGGGCAGATGGAGAAAATGGCCCTAGATGTTGACCCAGACCTGTGCTTAATAACTATTTTCAATGGTGCTTAGATGATGGATGGGTCTTACGGCCACTGCTCAATATTTGAGTTGCTCATTACTGATCATGATGCAATTTCCTTTTTCCTCACAAATGGTAGAGGGAATTAACTGTATAATCATGGCCAAAAGTATTGTTTTAAAGGATACTGTGTGAGACCATAAAGAAAAAAACAATTCTGAAGCTGACGGTATAAATAGGGAGTAATTCAACTCCTCACTGCACGTGAACCACCGCTGCCAGAGAGCGGCAGGGACTCTGAACACACAGTATCCATCCTTTCAAACCCATCTTCTCCATAATGAACCTACTTGTTCCTAAAAGAATGAATTCTAGGGCTTCCCCAACTATTCTAACACTGGGTTTGATTGTGCACTTTTGCTTCACAAGTACCTGGTTCCTGCTTCTCCCCTCTAAGCCAAGAGACACAGAAAGACAATAACCAAAGCAGCTAGCTTTTATTAACACCTTACTGCGTGCACTGAGCTAAAAGCTGATGCACCTTAACAATCCTGTGAGGGAGGTACCATGGTTATCTTCAAGATGAGGAACCTGACACTTAGAAGGATTTGAAAACTCCCCCAAGACATCACAGCGAATAAGAGGCAGAATCAGGATTCAAACCTGAGCTGTCGGAATCTAGAGCCTACACTCTCCAACCATTGGATTAAGACATTGCTCAAATCTAGGAGGGAGCCACTGCCGGTTCCCAGAGTCGAACAGGCACACTCACCTGCCCCGTCAGGAGTGATGGTTCCCAGTTTCACAGCGAGAGGGTAGCCCATGTCTCTGTAATGCTCCAGGGCATGCCCGTTGCCCCCAGAGCTGTCAAAGAACCACTTCCCACACAGGACGGAGCCATCGGTGAGGTTCAACCAGAGGTTTTCCCGCAGGTCACATCTGGCACACTTCCAACCACTGGAAAGTCATTGGAGAACAGTTAGTACAGCTGGAATGCAAGGCATAATTAGAAAATCAACAGTGCCTCAAGAAGAAACAAGCCTGGCTGGTGTGACTCAGTGGTTGGCGTCGACCTATGCACCAGGAGGTCACGCGTTCAATTCCCGGTCAGGGCACATGCCTGGGTTGCAGGCTTGATTCCCCAGTGGGAACATGTGGGAGACAGCTGATCAATGATTCTCGTTCATCATTGATGTTTCTATCTCTCTCTCCCTCTCCCTTCCTCTCTGAAATCAATAAAAATATATTTTTTAAAAAGAAGGAAGGAGTGCCTCAAGCTGGGGCCACAGTAAACAATCAGTGGAATAATCTGAGTCACTCCCAGAGCAGCAGGACCCCACAGTACCCTGCCTGCCACCCAGATGGGGACCAGCTCCTCCCTCTCCTCCGAGATGGCTCTTGGACTTTAGAAAACTAACACAGAACCCGAGGACAGAAGGGGAGGTCACTTCCTTAAAATTCCCATGTGAGGGACAGAGGAGCTTGAATACGTTTAAAGCATTAAGGATTCCATGTATATAAACACCTAAATTTCAAAAGCATTAACTACACCTAAGAAAAATAGTTTAAACAAAACCCTACTACATGGCAAATTAAATTAAGTAGAAGGAAAATCACCCTAACGCAGTGGTTCTCAACGTTGGCTGCTCATTATAATCACCTGGGAATCTTTTTAAAATCCTGATTTCTGGGCCTCATTCTCCGGAAATTCTGTTTCTTTGTTATGGGGTGGGGCCACAACATTAGGGCCTAACAGAAGGTTAAATATCGGGTATGTGCCAGGGACTTACCGAAACTCTATCATTGAATTCTAATGAACACCCTCAGCATCAGTATTACCATCCCCACTGTGAACAGGAGAAACTGAGGTATCATGCCTGTGCTAAGACTACACAGAATGGGACTGCAGTGCAGTTAGGGTTCAACAAGACTGGACACGTTCCTAATCTGCTCTTTCCTTCTAGCACCTGCCTCTGGAAACACAGCAGCACCTAGGAGATGCTCAAGTGGCCCAGAGAGCATTCCAGACAAATATGTGACAACCAAAGACTACTTTAAGTTGGGTTCCCCAAGAAGCAGAGTCTGAGACAAAAATATGAATGCAAATGGCTTGTTTGGGAGGTGATCCCAGGAAGCATCACAGGGAAGTGAGACGAGAAAGGGCAGGAGGCTGCCACGAGCAATGGGGGCCCAGGCCAGCTGGGGAACCCTGGAGGCAGTTATCCCACCTGAGTGGGGATCTGGGGTATTTGTCCAGCCACTCCACAGGCACTGGCTGAGAGCTGATCCAGGAGGACAGGAGGGAGCATTAACTCCATAGCATCTCTGACTGTCCCATCACGAGCCTACCTGGTTTCGGCAAGCAGAGAAAGCCCTCAAGCAAAGAGTTGCAGGTGGTTGCAACTGGGAGCATTAGGGCGGGGACAGACTCAGGGGTATGGGCTGGCCATATTCAGTATCTACTACTAAGGTACAGATAATTTTGTTATTTTTTTATAATTTCATTTTTATTTTTATTAGAGAACGTGCAAGAGACACAGAGAGAGAAACATCAATGTGAGAGAGACACATCGATTGGTTGCCTCCTGCATGTGCCCCAACGGGATCAAGCCTGCAACCAAGGTATGTGCCCTTGACCAAAATCAAACCCAGAACCATTTAGTCCATAGGCCGGCACTCTATCCACTGAGCCAAACCAGGTAGATAATTTTAGAGAGGTTTTTTTTAATTGATTTTTTTTGGGGGGGGGGGGGAGAAAGGGGGAGGGGGAGG